TATTATTAATTACCCCAAAATTCATTTCAATCCCTAATTATTATCTCCTCTCATTTCTCTCTCTCTCTCTCTCTCTAACGCATCTCGTTTCTCTCCCTACCCGTCACTGTGCCAATCTAATCCTCTCCCGAAAACTTCGTCGTCGTCGGTGTGAAGCGTTACCACCATCGTCGTGACAGTAAATACTTGATGGTGGTACGACACCACCACCGTCTCAAGACGCCGCTCGATCCATCGAGCGGCGTCAAAGCTCCACCATCGAGCGACGTCCTAATCATTTTCATCTTCTCCATTTTCTCTTCTCTCTATATCTTACATTCTCTCTTCTCTCTAGCCGTCCCTCGCCGCCACCACCTTGTCGTCACCACCACCTCGCCGCACCACACTCAACCACCTCACCACACCTACAAAAAAATTCCCAAACCCGTAGCCGCAACCGACTCCTCTGTCAACGCCTTCATCACCACAAATTTACCATCTCCATCTCCACCTCAATCATCAACACCACACCAAACAGATCAAGAGAAACATAGGGAATAGGGAACAGAGAAACAGATCGCTGCGCACCTTCTGCGAGGCAGCAACTCACAGCATCGAAGATGCCGAGATCTGGGAAAATGCAAGGATCTACTGTAGCCACGAACGACAGGATTTGGGAAAATTTGTGTTGGGCTATGCACAGCAACAGTGTAGTAACATCGTGAGGTGGTGGCAATTTTCGTGGCATTGTGGCAATGTTGATTATTTTTTGGGTGATTTTTGTTGGTTGTGGTCAAGATGGTGGTGCAACTTTTGTTGTGGATCTAATTTGTTGGTTTTTTTGGGTGGCGATGGTTTTGGTGGTCGTTGTGGTGGTGAGGTGGTGGTGAGGTAGTGGTGATGATTTTGAAGTTGAAAATGGTAATTGGTGGTGGATCTAACACTGTTGACGGTGTAGGTGGCGGATCTGATGGTTGCGGTGATTTTTGTTGAATTTAGTGGTGGTAGATCTAGCGGTGACAGTGATAGTTTTTTAGTTGAAAATGGTGGTCGAGAGGTGGTGGTGATGGTTCTGGCTGTGACGACGGCGACGATGGTGCTGCAGGAAGGAGTGGTGAGGTGGTGGTCACAAGTGTTAGTTGGAGTCACAAATTATTTGGTTGATTGTGATCATTAAATTGGTTAATTTGTAACCAATAAACAATATGTGACTAATGAAAAAGATAAATTGTGACAAAAAAATAATGTGTTTTGACCTAAAAATTGTTAATTTGTGATCGATAATTTGACAATTTGTGACTGTCTGATAAGTTGTGACTTATAATATTTGTGATTTGTGATCGATGAATAAGTTGTGACATAAAAAATTTTTTATTTGTGACCGATGAACAAATTGTGACTTATAAAATTTCTGATTTATGACCGTAAAATAATTTGTCATTTATAAAAATTTTGAATTGTGACCGATGAACAAATTGTGACATAAATTTTTTGAATTGTGACCGTAAAATAATTTGTGACGTTTCAATTTTTTATTTGTGTCTGATAAACAAATTGTGGCCTATAAAATTTTTGAATCGTGGCCATAAAATAATTTGTGATATGTAAAATTTTTGATTTGTGACAAATTAGTAATATGTGACCAATTATATAGAATGTGTGACCAAATTATATGAAATTGTGACCTTAATATATTTAATTAATAAAATATATGTTTAATTAATTAATCTATAAATAAAATTTAAGAATATCTGAAATTTGAAATTTTAAACTTAAGTTCTTAAATTTGAAATTGGTAAAACTAAATATCTTAGTTATGTATTATTCCCTTTTTTTAATTAGGTTACAAAATTTGAAATTAATTTCAATTTGATCAATGAATTTTAATTTAGTTTCAAATTTCACTTCTCCATTAGCTATCATATCACAAAAGAACTTGTATGTAATCACTTCCGAACTATTTAAATAAGGGTGTGAAAGGTGAAACCCTATAAAAAGAAACACGGAAGCAGCGTAAATCCACACTCTACTGTAAAAAACATGAAATTGAAAAATAGTTGTAGCCCGATAAGATAGCACGAGTGGGTGATAGTACTCTAATGCACTTAATTTAGCCCATGTTTGGTCCCTTTTCTTAAATTTCATTTTTTTTCTCAAACTCGTTTTTAACAAAACGTTTAATGACTCACTAATTTTATCAACTTTTAACTATATATTTATTAGTTTTTATCAAAATTTACTAAAAATCTAATTTTTAACAAAATTGAAAACGGGCTTAGTTAATCCTTTAATTATGTATTATTTTTTAATATTTTTATTTACTTTAATTAAGCGAAAGATGTAAAAAAAATGTTTAATCTAAAGTCGCAACCCTCATTTACAATTTTTGTTTATAGGATGCTGCTTGGCGATTGTGTTGAATATTGGTCAAATATGATTGTCAACAGGTAGTTCGGGGGACGATAGACGACGGAATATGATACAAAGTATGTTTGAGCCCCATTCTTTCTCAAAAATACATTTTGAAATAGTAGATTGATGGAGAATGTGTAGTTAAAAAATTTTTGAATTTGTGTTTATTGAAGAACGTGTAATTGAAAAGAAGTGAGAAAAATGTATTTTGAAAATAATGAGGATCAGACGAGGGCATAGTGACGAAATTTGAAATTGAATTAAATTTAGGGCCTATTTAAAAATATTAATGTTTAGTGAATTGATTCACAAAAATAAAAGATTAAAATGCTAGGACTGGAGTTTAGATCGGTCCAATTAATATCGACCGGCTGACAGTATAGTACAATAAAACCGGACTGAATTGTTAAAGATTCCATTTTCCCCTAATCCTACACCTCTCCTTCCAAGTAGTAACTGAAAAACCCTAATCGAAGATTTTCGCAATGATGCGGGGGAGAATCCTTTCTCGCAAGCTATGGAGTGGAATCAGCAGCGTCAGCCCCCGGAAGTCACCAAACCCGTTTAGATGTTACAGTCTGATTCCAATGGTGATTGAGCACTCTTCCCGCGGCGAGCGCGCCTACGACATTTTCTCTCGTTTGCTCAAGGAGAGGATCATTTGCATCAATGGCCCTATCTCTGACGATACTTCTCACGTCGTCGTTGCCCAGCTCCTCTTCCTCGAGTCTGAGAATCCGTCTAAACCCATCCACATGTACCTCAACTCCCCCGGTGGGGCTGTCACTGCCGGTACCCTCTTTTTCCATTTCATTTTGGAATATTTGTTTTCTTAGTATATGAAATCACGTCACTAGTTGTAAGTATTTAATTGTATCCAAAGTGGTTTGTAAGGGGAGAGTGCCCAAAGTGCTCATAGACTTACAAGCCATGCCTTTCACAAGCTATGTGGGTTACAATTAGATTGTTACACTACTATTGCTGTGAATATCTTATTACTGTTTTTGCAGTTTTCCTTCTGTGTTTGAAAAATAATTAATAATTATGAGGAAATGTATGTGTCTCCATGCCTACGCACTACAAATGGAGGATTATTTAATTTATTTTTATCATACACTATACATGATTTGCCAAAATTCTTGTACTGAATCTTGAAAAAGATTATTATTTTTTTCTTTTTTATATATTTTTCATGCAGGTCTTGCTATCTACGATACAATGCAGTACATCCGATCTCCAATCAACACAACGTGTCTGGGCCAAGCTGCATCGATGGCTTCTCTTCTCTTGGCTGCTGGTGCAAAGGGTGAGAGACGTTCTCTCCCAAATGCTACCATTATGGTTCATCAGCCTTCTGGTGGATACAGCGGGCAGGCTGAGGACATGAAAATACATACCAAGCAGATTGTTCGTGTTTGGGATGCTTTGAATGCACTATACTCAAAGCATACAGGACAACCTATTGAAGTAATTCAGAAGAATATGGATCGTGATTATTTCATGACGCCGGACGAGTCGAAGGAGTTTGGGATTATAGATGAGGTCATAGATCAGAGACCAGCTGCCCTGGTGACTGATGCTGTTGCAGATGAGGGCAAAGATAAAGATTCAAACTAGAGATTACGGGTAGGATATATCTATCTCATATATTTAGAGGGTGTTTGGTGTGGATTAAAATTAGATTTTTAGTGGATTGTGATAGAAGTTTTTGAAATGTGTGGTTGAAAAGATGTGGGACTCATGGAAGACGTGGTTAATGTTGATTGTTTGACTTTGACTTAGATTAAAATCAGATTTTAATCCGGCCCAAACAGACTCTTACTCTCTTTTTATATTAGGGGATAATGCTCCGCTGTTCTTGAAAGCCGAACTACTTGTATTTTATTTAGTGTCATATCAAGCTTTGACATTGTACCAATGCATAAACGGGCACATTTATTCCTATATAAGTATTACCCATCTTGTTGCGACGGTGTTTGTATATAGGTCTTTTCTTTTTTTGCTTTGTTTATATTGTTCTTAGACTCTCGTCTGATTTTATAATGGAAGCCTTTGGTCATTGTTCTTTAGATTTCTGTGTTCTGCACCTCCCAACATGGAGATGGAAGAGTAGTTTAGTACTTATTTTGCTTGATGATAGAGATAAAATGAGCTTATCTAATGATCATCTACCTGATGATAGTTGGAACTTGGAAGTTAGCTGAAGGGAGTACATACGTGGCAATTGAAAAGCTAGGGACTGTTTCTGTGTCATAAAACAGACTATCCATGTGTGTAGAACTAACAAAATATTAAAACCATTTCAAGTCCCCATTTTCATTGCATGCATGTCAAAACAAAATTAGGTTGATGTTTTCCAGGCTTTGTTTCCCTAAAAACATGGTTCCAAGGTATACTTTATTTGAGAAATTGTTTTAGTGAGGACTCTTTCACAATCTAATTGATACACAAATGATTGGCAACTGTCTTATCACTGGACCAATTAAACAGTTCTTATTTGACAAGACTGTTGAAACGGACCTTCCAGCTTAAATAATTTTAAGAATTGCCGGTGTCAGTTTTTTACTAATTGAGGATGTCTCCTCTTGTTGCTATGTTTAGCAGCAAAAGAAATGAATGTTTTGGTTTTTATCTTCCAGTCTACAAGTCAACTCAAATATTGTAAGAAAGTTGTTGACTATTAAAATTATGCATTTTGTGTTGTGTTGTGTGTGTTGGGAGATGGGGAGCGGGCGGGTGGGTGGAGGAGAGGGGTTGTTGGTGGAATGAGTTTATTGGAAACTCAGGCAGTGAGGGTTATAAACTCTTATTGCTTCCATTCAGTTTTGTTTCGCTGTTTCACAAGCTAATATCTGATCTGTGTTGTTAATGGTTCACAATTCTTGGGAGTGTTGTTATATGGCGTCTTTCCTCCCACATAACCAAAGCTGATTTGCTATTAATGTTCTTGTTCTCTTGTATCTTCGTTCTTCTTGTTGTGTGGCGTTTGGCTGCATTTTCTGTTACTGACCTTTGTATCATACTTACCCTCGTGTTTTTGGTCCTGGTGCAGTTCTCTTGGTTCCTGTGATGCATTTTCCCATCATTTGATCTTGGGAATTCTTTTGGGTGGCCAACCTAGCACCTGTTATGAGCACATGTTGAGGAGTTCTCATTCCTCCATCATCTTTCTTGAGCACAAGTTGCGCGTTTTCCTTTCCGGCTTTCCACCACCTCCCTCTGCTTTGTCTTTGTTTTTGATAATCGCTGCAGCATCGAAAGGTCCATGCATTCTGGCCTATTTTTTACACTATGATGGGGATTACATGTAACTTTTTATCACTACCTACCAAATAAAAAGTAAGGTCGTATGAATTTGCTAATATGTTTTACAGGATCCTCAGCATTCTTGTCTTTGAATTTAACTAACACCTTAGATTTTAATATGAGTTGAATGAATATATGCTGGGAAATTTGCTCAAATAATCCTCAACCTATAGGTCTTGCACTAAACCTGTGTTAATTTTTTTCCTTTGCATTTCCATCCCCAACCCAAGGTTTTAGTGTGAAAGTAGTCCTTCCAGTCAGGTTATGTTTATCTGACTTTTTAAAGGTCAGACGGAAACTGATCGGAAAGGACTATTTCACACCAGAACCTAACGTTGAGGACTACGGTGCCAACTATAAAAGAACGTGGAACTGATTTTTCACGTGACATATACGCTGGGGATGATTTGTGCAAAACTAATTCTATAACACTTTTTTTTCTTAATAAAACGAAAAAATGGGTGCTCCGTTAGTTTTCAAAGACGAAGATGAATAAAAATTGAAAGTTCAGTGCTAATTTGATAAGAATACCCATAATTATAGTGTCCAAATATATATTTCGAAGAAGGGGATATTTCATAATTAAGAGGTTTAGTTTTATCAAATTCAAATTTAAAAGAGAAGATTTAAAATTACAAAATTCAGATTTTTTGAAGGTATAAAATTTCAAATTTTATTTATAAATAAATTAATTAAACATATATTTTATTAATTAAATATATTAAAGTCACAATTCCATATAATTTGATTACAAATTTCATATAATTTGTCACGTGTCACAAATTTTATATTTTACAAATTATTTTATGATCACAGTTCAAAAATTTTACAAATTACAATTTGTTCATCGGTCACAAATCAAAAATTCATACGTCACAAATCTATCAAATTAATAAGTCACATATTATTCGTTGGTCACAAACACAAATTTTATATGTCACAAATTATTTTACGATTACAGTTCAAAAAATTTATAAGTCACAATTTGTTCATCGATCACAAATCAAAAATTTATACGGTACAATTTATTTATCGGTCACAAATCTGTCAAAATTAACAAGTCACATATTATTCATTCGTCACAAATTTTAAATGTCAAATTATTTTACGATCACAATTCAAAAATTTCATAGGTCACAATTTGTTCATTGGTCACAAATCAAAATTGAAATGTCACAAAACACAAATATTATAAGTCACAACTTAGTCAACAGTCACAAATTGTCAAATTATCGATAACAAATTAATAGTTTTTTAGGTCACACATTATTCTTTGTCACATTTTATATTTTTCATTAGTCACAAATTAACTGATTTAATGGTCACAATCAACCAAATGATTTGTGACCACAATCAACACTAGTGACCACCACTGCACCACTCCCTCCGGCAGCACCACTGTCGTCGTCGCTGCCAGAACCACCACCACCTCGCGACAGAAACACCACATCGCGGAAATCACCAACACATCGTCGCACCGATCCACCACCACCTCGACGGACCCGTCGCCACCAACATCTCAACACCAACACCAACATCGTCTAGCCACTGCACCACCATCGCCAGAACAACCACCACCACCACCAGCCTACCACTACAAAACAACCACCCTCACCAAAAAAATTCCCAAATCTGTTGCCAGCCAATCACCTCCCGAACACAAATACCACCAACAGCAAAACACCACCACACCACCAAAACACTGGGAAGTCATCACAAACACCACCAATGGCAACGCCGTTGTTGCAGCGACGATGAGCGCAGACGACGCCATCGTCACTTCGCAACACCGTCAAGCGACATCACTACTGCATCGTCACTGCGCAACGGAGCCACTAGCTTTCAAAGCAACGCTTCTGTGGTGACGACGTCGTGAGCGTCGCGTCGACTGAGCCTTCAGTTGTGGGACACAACCCACCACAACAACCACATCACCTCCCGAACACAAATACCACCAACTACAAAACACCACCACACCACCAAAACACTGGGAAGTCATCACAAACACTACCAATGGCAACGCCATTGTTGCAGCGACGATGAGCGCAGACGACGCCATCGTCACTTCGCAACACCGTCAAGCGACATCACTACTGCATCGTCATTGCGCAACGGAGCCACTAGCTTTCAAAGCAACGCTTCTGTGGTGACAACGTCGTGAGCGTCACGTCGACTGAGCCTTCAGTTGTGGGGAAGAGAGAGAGAGAGAGAGAGAGAGTGGGAGGATGGATAAAATTAGAGTTAGGTTTGGGTAATTATAATTTAGAGAGAGGAGACAGATAAAATGGATGAATTAATTCTGATTTTTGTATAAATAAAGTTTATATCTGAAATTTGAAATTGAAATTTTAAAAATCCGATTTTTTGCAATTTCCTCTTGGAAGAACGCTATTGGTGCTAGACACCAGGTGACGATAAGTCCAATTAAATAAATCATTTAACTTATCAGTTATTTAATTGTCACTTAAATTAGTGCTAAACACTGATAGATCTAAGTAATATTACTCACATTTTTGACTCAATTCCACGTGATGGTCAAAGACTTAGCAAAATCAGTACGATTCTAGTAGATCGAGTGTGCAACATCACCATCATCTACCTATACGCGTACCTTGATCAGTAATAAATTTGGTTTTAAGAGGCAATTTTCTCAAAGCCAAAGATCTAACACTCTTGCTAATAAAGAGCTACTCGAGTAGACTTAGTTTACATCAACCTTACGTACATACATTTTTATTCTTCTCTCTGATCGTTCTTCAACTTATTATTCATATTTTTTGTTTATATTTTCAATTTCACCTTTCCTAAATGAGACTCAAACTCAGGTGACTGACCTGGTAATGCTTCACTAGATTTCAAGAATTTATACTTGAAAAAACAAATTTATACTTATCCTATGGACTTTAGTTTGGCCCCTTTTCTTAAAATTCATTTTTCCTCACTCATTTCCAACACATTTCATGAAATTCACAACTTGCATCAACTCTTCAACCATATATTTCATCGATTTTGATAACACATTTCATGAAATTCACAACTTGCATCAACTCTTCAACCATATATTTCATCAATTTTTATCAAAATCTACTTAAAAACTAATTTTTAGCTAAATAAAACGGCCTTAATATTGAGCAAAATTGCTGAATATCAAATAATAAAAGAATACATGTTACAAGATGTTCACAAATAAGTTTATTTTACTGGTACAAAAGCTTACAAGGCGTCGCATAAAATTATCATTCAAAATTTACAGTTTCTTATAATATAACATTCTAGCATGACTTGCTATTGGTAGCTAGTAAGAATTTTTCCTTCCTAGGAACGATCAGTATACCTCAAATATAATGGAGCAAGTCAAGTCGATATTGGAATGTAGAGATAAATAATACCCCAACTGATCTCTAATGGCACCCAAAAAAACACTGAATAAGCGGGAACCATTGAGTTTTTTTTGAATGCTAATGAAAATTCAGCAATGTAGGCTTGCTTCATGCTAGACAAATTTTCAGTTGGCGTCATATTTATTTGCGGTGCCTCCTCTTTGGTTCAGCTCTCTGCCTCTTCTCATCATCCCACTCTCTGTCGTACATCCTAAAACGCTTGTTAAGAAATTCATAATTTTAACAACATTATTACCAATATCGACTACAAGCAGTACTGGCAATGCAAATAACATGTGCAAGATAAAGCAACTAAATCATTTCAACCTATGTCAACTAAATGAGTAACCACCGAAACTACCCAGTTTTGGAAAATATATAAAGATGTTATGTTACAGATGAATATGGCATGTTTAACAGGATACCACAAAATATATAGAGATCTGCAAGGACAGAAATATTGGGATGCAAAATGGCTGTCCAAGAAGATATATTAACATGGAGATATTAAAATCATATATAATTTTGAGGATACGGATCACTATCACGACGGGCTGCCTTAGTGGCTGCTGCATCTTTGGCGTGAATCCTGAGAGGTGGCTCCTCCATATAACCTGGACGTTGGACTATAACCCCCTTATGATCTCCCCTCTCTCTTCCATCATATGACTGTAACAAATTAATTGAAGGGGGAGAAGGTTGTGGTGCTGCTGGTAAATACTCACCGGGTTCTGATGGCGGATACTCCCTTTTCAGTTTCCGCCTCTTGGAAGCATTTGAATCCATTTCCTCCTTTAGAATGTTCGTTTTCTCCCGCTCTCTCTCCCTCTCTTTCTCCTTTTCATCCACCTACATGTGCAACTCACAAAATACAAGTGGATCAGAATCAGTATTTCGAACCTCAATCTAGAAGAAACAGAAAACTTAAAAATTGTTGGTCAATATTCAAAGTTAAATAACACAATCATACAGCCATGACCCACCACAATCAAAAATTGTTTAACAGTAAGCCACCACGAAAAACAAATCATAATAAATTTAATTTGATGGGCGAGAATAGTTGTGCAGCAGTACCACCTAATTGGACGGATCCTTCACACGTAGCACCCATCTCCCAATGTGATTACAAAAATTAATGGCAGCACAATGTGCATTTGTGGGAGGAAGTATGAAGCAGCAATCAGTAGATCGTGGGTGAAAGCACAAAGGTGCAAACAGGGATAAACCTTTTGGCTCTCCGAATAAACTTGCACAGTACATTCAAGCAAGGGATTTATGTGCCATTGAGATAAAAAGGATTTACAAAATTCTAGATGTATAAATAACGCGTACATAAATTGATGGCAGTTAGAAGAGGATACTGTGAGATACCTTAACTGATAATGTGTCCCGCTCATCTCGCTTCCTATCTCGAAAATCATCCTCCCTTCTACGTTTTGCGTCATCCTGCAATAAAATATTCTCTTCAGATCGTCTTCGCTCTCTCTCATCGTGTCTTGGAGAAAGTCTTTGTGTATGCCTGACAGATCCAAACCGCCTATCAGCATCATCATCCCTCCTACTGGCATTAGCTGACTGGGGCAATACGTGAGGGAGCAAAGGTGGAGGTGGAGGTGGAGGCAAGC